GCTGAGGGAAAGGAGAAGAGAATTAGGAGTAGTGAGGCAGGGGTGAGGAAGAAGGAAGGATGAGAGTGAGCGAGATGCCGGAAGTAGGGAGAGTCTTAAAAAAAGAATGCTCATGTTTCTTTCTATAATGGGAAAAAATAGTGAGACAGGAGAAAAGGATTTGGTGATGCTGAAATGACATTTTTCTCCTCAATGATATCTCCTAAACTGAGGATGGGGACTATGATTGAGTAGAACAGTGAAGAGCCAGGGAGGAACATTTACTGTATCAATGCTCTGTTCACTGAATTCGTGTGAGATGGTAACCACTTCTGAAACTTTTTCTGGCCATTGGGACATGAGAGAAATGGAATTCTATGTATAGAAGTGGAATCGTGGGCCTGAATACTATCAGTTTCGGGGGGAGAATAAGCAGAGAATATGAGGATTTCCCTAGTTTCCATTTGTATCAACACGTGTTGTCTGGCTGGATTAAGGAATATGTGTGCAAGGAAGCCGCCATTGTGACAGAGTGACATAGTCATTCATGCATCGATTCATTCAACAATGACTTAGCAAAGGGCTCATGGGTTCAGGGCAAATGGTTGGGCACTCGTTACGTATTGGCGTTGCTATTGGTGCCAGATGGAAATAGAGGAGGCCAATGAACCAGCCCCCCTGTGGGGCCGGGGTCTCCTTCTGTGAGCCAAGCAGCTCCCCAGCGTGACCTGGAGGAGCATCTTCCAGGTCAGGCCCCTGGGGAGGTCTTCCTCCCCTCAGTAGTTGCAGATTCTCCTTATGGGCCCCAGGGTTCATTTCTCCTTGCTTTGGGGGCACTTCCCTCCAGACCTCACCAAGTTCAGGGAGCGCATTTTTTTCCAATCTCTACCCCTTCAGTCTCCCGTGCAAATACATACCCTCTAAGGGGATGAGGAGAGAAAGGTGAGGTAGTTAGCAGGTGATTGGCAAGAACATAACTTCCTTTTGTTTGGAGAACTCCCAGATAATCCCATAGCTTCACATACCTCACCCGCATCCCCTGGCTCGGCCTCCTGCCCTCCATGCACAGTGTACCCAGCTTGCCCCTAATAGCCCGTCTGTGCTGCCCATTGTCCTACCTCTGCTTCCAGATCACACCCGATCTTGCTTTTACCCAGCGCATGACATGAAGCCCACCTTTATCCAACTGGGAAGGGTGAGGCCGCCCTCGATCCCAGAGCTGGTGCTGGGAGTGGACGGCAGGCGCTGTGATGCGGGTGATTGATCTGTCTGACATCCCACACACAGGGAGAGTCATAATTGCCTCTCATGTTTGTCAGGCCTTTGTGGCTTTTTGGCAGGTGTCTGTCTGCATGAGCAGAAGGGCCAGGTTTAGAAAGGAAGGCGCCCCTCCTCCCCTTGCTCTGCAAATCTCAGGCTCTCCCTGGCTCTCCTGCCCACCGCCCGTGTGCTCTCCACCCTCAGTGGTCCTTGTCCCCCAGTCTCCCTCCACCTCTGACCTCCCTCTTCTGATTTGGATGCATGAAATGGTGTTGCAATTGGCTTCATCGCTCCTACCTAATCCCCTGGCTTCTTCCCCTTAAGATGAGAACAGGAAGAAAAAGAAAACTTTAAAAGTGAAATAACTGTTATTTGTGACAAGAAGGACAGTGGAGGATGTGTCCTGAATTCGCTCTTTTCAGCAGACCCCAGTGAGACAATTAAACCTCCGCCCCCACCCTCCACCCCCACCCCTGTTCTGTGGGCATTCACCCCTTGTGGCATTGGGGGCATTGCTACAATTTCCAGCTTCCCGCAGCCCAGTGTTCTCTTTGAAGAACACATTAAAAATGGTAGCAGGTATTGACACACATGCAGAGAATCTGGGTCAAGCACCGATGCATGGAGCACACACGGGTTGCTCTTCAATGCAAGAGGTCTCGGGGCCTTTACAGGCTAAAGCCTTTACTTTATGGGAATGTGCAGACATGGGAATGTGCAGACGTGGTGAGGAGGTTCACTCTTCCATAGCATCACAACAAGCCAGCTACGCTACCACCTAAGCACACCCATCCACCTGACCAGAAGGTTGGAAAGTGAGGAAGGCTGGTGCTGGGAGAATCCCACCTTGGCCGGAATCTAGCCCAAATGGGGGCAGGGGTGACCCTTCCTATCTGGGCCCAGAACCAATAGGGTTCTGAGCACCTGACCCCTAAGACTGCAGGCATGGCAGGGACTGAGTCCTGCCCCTGTAATCCCGACTCACAGTGGCTCCTGGGGGACCTCCTTCCTGCTCTGGAGCCTTGGGAACAGAAATTTCTGGACTTGGTTTTCCAAAGTGAAAAAATGGGGTGGGGTGGGGGACAAAAATCTCATCTAGAAAAAAAAAACACACAAAAAAACGCTGGTCCTTTGTTACCATATCAGCACCCAGTTCAGCACAAGCTAAGGGTGGACGCGTCTGCACTGGACAACGTGCCGGCCTCCAGCCCCCTCACTTCCCAGCCTTCACGTCCAAGTTTGGAAGCATAGAGCACTCACGTTTGTGTCCCC